AATTATATATGTACTTGACTAAAACAGCAAGGAACCTTCAATGCGTGAGAAATAATCGTTTCAGCGTGAGAGCGCAAGATTGAATTCGTTTGCGTGAGCATCATGCTCAATGCGTGAGACTTGTGAGCACTGTGTCGGTTTTTTTTTAATAAACAAAGGTATTACGATGTGTTATACATGTAGCTTCGTTTTAATCGTAAAAGGTCAAATTTCCTGACACAACTCCTCTGAGACGAAATTCCGACAGGCGACATAGGAATCTTGCTAAATGCCGACATGGCTGGTGGCGAATTTCAGACAGGGGACATGGGTACCCCCCCTAACAGTGCCTCCTTAGTGGGAGGCGCGGTGGCCTCATGGTTAGTGCGCTCGTCTCCGGAGCGAGCAGTCCGGGTTCGAGCCCTGGCCGGGATAAGCTCCGGCCTGATGGGCCACTTGGCTCGTATGCAGACTTTACCTTACCTATAGTTTCAATGCACGGTTGTGTTGTTAGAAGGAGTTAAAAACAAGCGAACGAATGTAATCCTCTCAACCGCTTCTTGAATACAAAAAGCGGAGGGACAGTTCCCTGGAAAATAAGCGCACAATGGACATTTTCGACAAAAATATTTTATTCACTCATCTCATTACTGATATATCTTTTGTACGTCCATAAAATTTATCGAAATGAAACGCCCTTCATCTGTCCTTGCATTTCCTACGAAAAAAAAATTTAAAAACTTCAACTTACAAGTATACCCTATATATAAAAATACAGTGACATCGCCAATTAAACGCTTTTTTTTTAAGTGCGTCGTAACACTTCAACCTACGTTACAGGAGCCGATTAGTGCGACCCATGTTCTGCCGCACGTACAGACGGTAATGAACAGAAGCACCTTTCCAGTTATAGACTGGCTCTCGGTCAGTGGGGACGGGCCGAAAACGGGGGCGTGCAAAAGAGAAGAGATTAGGGCCCCACCCTTGCCTTCTTCTCCCCCAGACCCTGCTCTTTTTTCTTTCGCCCGCCAGCCTTTTCGCGTGGCGTCAAAACAACTCAGTACTGCATGTACTAGGTACTACTCTAGCTCTCCTCCTATTTTTCCATACATATAAAGGAAGAAATTTTTCGAGTTTTGCAACTGGAAAGAATTTGAGATGTTACGGAGCCTTTCCAGCGTTATCGTTTTCTAAGGACCTTTTCAAATGGCTCACATTTTCGTTCTGGCATACATGTCAAATAATGTAAGATTAGGTGAATTAACTGAACTCGTTGGAGGACCAAGACTTCTCATCTTATTCCATACTTGTAAGAAAAGATTCAGTTTTGTTGTCGAAATGTAAATGTAAATAAACACACAAACAATTTCACGTTTTATCTCCCACTTGGATCTGTTTCTGTATAAGATCATCAGCAAAATCAGATTGAAGAAAAAACACACTACAGTTCGACACAGTGTGACTGTGGAATTTCGCAATGAGAACGTCTTTCTCGGCAATTTATAACTTACGTCAAGAACAACTCGCTCCGACTCTCTACTGTGTCGTGGAAGCGTGTTTGCCATTCTTGTTTCAGCAGCTGTTTGTCTATACCACAAAGGGTTGATAATTTCCCCCTCTGATGTCGATTCTGAAAAATCAAGTCATCGAACACGTCAGTAGACGTTTATATGATGAATAATACGGAGTTCGTTCTTTACCACAGATATAGCTGATAGGGTAGACACCTGTAAACGTAAACGTTTGTATCAATAACAGGTACGCCATATAGGCTTCAAAGCCTTTGTAGAGACCAAACAAAAAGCACTTGCTTCAAATACCATGAGATTGGGAAGTTGAATAGATCAATGTTCGAGCTGAGGCTAAACGTTCTTAGGTTATGTTTGTTTTTTTTGTTGTTGTTTTTTAGCCACTTGAACCTGTTACGTTCTAAATATGTTCCTAAGTTACCAATGCTAATGCTTTGAGCCTTTAGTAGTTTTGTAATGGTTCTGAATGAGACACATGAAGATTTAAAGACAAACACAATTTTCCATTTGGAAATAGCCGTGGTTGGGACCTGACATCGTTCCGTTATACCGCCTACTGGGATTATGGCTAAAAGGCTTGAGATACNTTCAGCCTGATGTTCTTAATCCATGTGTTCTTATATGCGGGTGTTTACTGTACTTCACTTTTTGGTTGCCTCAAGGTGTGAATTAGTTGTTTTTAGTTTAAAGGGGTTAAGGAGACGAATTAAAGTATTACATCTAGGGAAGCGAATCCGTTTTATTAATTTGTATATACGTACTGCTCGGAGCTCGGAGCAATTAAAAGAAAGAAGCTCTTTCTTACCATCGTTTCTTGCCAATTTCTCCTCCATTTCTGGCAAATCAGATTCATGCCCTGTAGAAATTTAGACGTATTTCCTTACATCTTTCAATTTTAGACATCCTCTACTGTTTGGTAACGTTTAACATTGTCTAGATCAACAAACTCCACAAAATCAAATGTTATTATAATTATCACTTTTTATTGAAGTCAAATTCATCCTACCTTTCTGCGCTTGGTCTAACTTGTTTCGAAGCTCAGCTATCTGTTTTTTCAAACTCCCATTTTCCATGACCAACCTGTCTCGCTCTTCCTCTACTCTTTGTATCTTATTTTTCAACAACGCTGCTTCATTGTACGCGCCTCGAGCATTCTCCTGGCGTGCGTTGTTCTCCGCGGTAGAGCTGCTGACAAGGTCATCTACTCTTTGCATAGTAGCGGTAAAAATAGTGTCAATGGTTTCCTTGAGGGAACAGAGCAGCCCTCTGACATGTTGAACATCTGACATGTAAGAACGAAGTTCGCTGGTGATTCTTCCAGTCTCCAGTCGATGCCAAGAGCTTAGGTCTTCTATCAAGTTTTTTTCGCCGAGTCTTTTGCTATTTCTGCGCTGTTTCTTAATTTCCTGAAGAATTCTGCTACCAGTTTCACAGCCACTTGAATTGCCTATACCTCTTACCGAAATCTCAGAGACTCCTCTTAATTCGATAAGGACCTGCTGTTTTGGATCTTGCCGTGGTTTTAATGACTTAGGAACAGGCTGAATGGTAAACTCTTGGCAGGGAAGATCTTGTTGAATTGCGGAGACATTGGTGCACTTATCTCCATGTGATTTATCCGCGTTGTCATTGTTTTGATTGGCGCATTTATCTCTATGTGATTTTTCCGTGTTGTCGTTGTCTTGGGTGTGAAATTGCCTCTGTTTCAAAACTTGGTCCAGCCTGATGGCAAATCCTTCTTTCCACTCTTTAATTTTCCTGAAGGCTTCTTTTTCCAGTTTAGTGGCATAATGAGGCGAAAGTTCACTGACAGGATGTTCTGTCGCAATCGTGACGCGTCGCTGCTTCGTCTTCTCCTTGACTTGCTTTTCGAATTCCTCTTCACTGATCTGTTCAAACAACTGGTAGTATACAAAAAATTGATCATTGAATGACCTGCTTTAATGCAAGAGAAAAGGCAACTATATTCCTTTTTTGTTGTGTTACTGAGGAAATTACTTCATGCATAGTGATTGGCTGGGAGCAGGCCAATTTATTGTTGACTTTTAGTTTGCACTGTTTATGCATTGTGATTAGCTGGGAGCAGGCCAATTTATTGTCGATTTTTAGTTTGCACTGTGGTGCGTATCAACGCGTATGCGTTCGTGATTTTCTCAGTGACACAAAAAATGAGTAATCGATTTACACTACTGGTGATATTTGAAAATTCTTTCAAATTACATTAGCCTTAAATCTCACGTAGTTTAAAGATAATTTTAAAACTTCATTCATAGTGTAAACCCTAAATTGCACTCGCATTCATACGATTACCTATAGTAATCCAGTATACAGACCTTATTCCAAAAGTAATCTCTCTCTCTCGTGTTATTTATATAGATGTATATCGTGTTATTTATATAAAGACCGGATAGGATAAAATAGGATAGGATAGGATACTTTATTTAAAGTGGCAATATGCTTAGTCATATGGCTATCCTACTACTAAAATTAACATAACTAACTACCGTGTAATTGAAGATCCACTGAGGTAAGCTAGATTTTGCTCACGTGGACAGCCCAAAACGCGTTTTTAATTATCCTTCACGAAATCATCCATCCAAGCCTGGTAACATTGTATCCGTGGTATCGCTGAGGGATGCCATGTCTAAAAATAACTTATAAGGGATTAACTATACAGAGACTAACTCTCATACCCTTGATCCTCTTTTGTCCACCGGCAATGGTGAGCTAGTCTGACTAGGGAAGCGTGTATAGGATATGAGATTGTAGATAGCTAACGAGGAGCTAGACTTGCCACAAGTCGACCTCAAGAATTTCAGGGTAGAATATGTAAGGTCGCGAAGCGACCGAGCGAGTGACGAAGTCGCGAGAGGTCGACTTGTCTCGCTTGAAGGGTTTTCATTTGCGTTTCGCGCCAAAAATGAGGAGGAAAGGAGATATCGCCGGAAAGGAGATATATCGATAGATATAGATAGATATCGCCGGAAAGGAGATATCCAGTGGCGAAGGTTTACTTTTGACAAACATTTTGTGCCGAAATTGCGTAGAGAAAAACGAAACCGTAGTTCGGAAGATTCTTGAAGTAAGAGAGAGCTTCAAATCACCGAGGAAGTCCATTGAAGCCGAGAAAGGCGGAGCAACAATGTGGCGATAGTTGCTGAGAATCGTCGCTGGACTTCCAAATACCAGTTTAACTTTAAGATCTAAAATGTCCTGTAACTGTTGTTCAGAATAGTCGTCTCCCTGATCTTTCATCAGGGAAATAAGCGGAACCACCACCAAGACGATGGAGTTGCTATTCGCATAATCTCCATTCAAACAATCAAATGCACACGGAGCTAGCTCGAAAGTCAAACTTTTCCCAGCTCCGGTTGGTGCAGAAACAAACACATCTCTTCCAGACAGATATGCTTCCACTGTTTTCTTCTGGTAGTCACGAAATACATGATATCCCGTGGCCTTTGAAGCTTCGTTAATGGCTTTCGCAATCGACCCCATATTGAATTTAACCGCAAGTCACGTTTCGTTGCGCATAGTTTGACAATTCGGTCCCCAAGGGATATCCAGGGGACCTCTGATTGGTTGAAGCGCAGCGACCCGTTTTTGGGTCGCTAAAATTGGCGGCAATCAAGCAGGAAAAGTCCTTCGTCTGGCGGGTACTGAATAAACAAGAAGAAGGACTTTTCAGAAAGTCTAACGAGGAGCGTAGACCAAGTTTTAGATTTCGTATCATGCACGTGTAGAACAATGGTTTAATTAAACAAAAGCATCAAATATCGGTAACTCTTGCTAATTACATAAGTTTTGCAAAAAAAGAACGGAGGATGGAAACATCACATAACTTATTAAGTAAGCGTACTCGCACTCCAAGCAAGCTTACTCGCACTTTGGGAGGCGCGGTGGCCTCATGGTTAGTGCGCTCGTCTCCGGATCGAGCGGTCCGGGTTCGAGCCCTGNTCGAGTCTTAGCTAGGTCCCTGTGTTGTGAAAATGGGCACTGGACACCTAACTCTCATACTGCCCTCTCTCAACCCAAGTGTACAAATAAATAGCGGCGAATTTAATGCTGGGGGGTAATCCTGCGACCCACCCAGGGGGGAGTAGAAATACTCCTAGTCGCTTCATGCTACAGAAACCAGGATAAGCTCCGGCCTGATGGGCCACTTGGCTCGCATGCAGACTTTACCTTTTTTACTCGCACTCCAGATAAAGATTCAAAGACATGAAAGTAGTATAGATGGCTCATATGGGTCGTGACTTCCGTCACCTCATCACTCTTGAATTATTAATTTGGTCCCTGAGCCGGCTGAAAACTAACCGGCGCCATCTTGTTTATGCAAATCGCAAATACTGCAATCTGATTGGTCGAGAGCAACTTTTAATGAGATGTACTGCGCTCTGATTGGTTACCGCCCATATGAGCAACCTATACTACTATGAAACTACACGGAGGGCCATCACATGTACGTATAAAAATTACTTGCACATTATTTAATTACTTACGTTGGTTGAAGATCTCTTAAATAAAACTTCTTCAGTGACTTCATTAACCAGACTAAGAGATGATGTTCGAGCCTTGTTGTCAAATGAGCCACTCTGTTTAGTCGTGAGTCGAGGATCACTGCCTTGCTGTTCAGCTCTTGTCCAGTAACTGACTACTACTTCGCCCAAGTCTTTACGCTCACTGGATCCAGCACTTTCCAAAACTGCATTATCGATTTGCTGTTGGAAACCTTTGTGCGAAGGTGACGGCTCTTCGACCAGCCTCTCTAAACTTGGAATGTAGTTAGCGTGTAAACTACTTTTAGTTGAGACACGTCTCACATGAACTTGATTAGAAAACAGTGTACTACCAGCTGAAGGGATGGATGGCACAGATCCATTCAGATCGCTCGGTCTCCAGCTTAGCACGGCTCCATCATTGATCTGTACTCCACTGTCACCTTTCCGTCGCGGTGTTACAACACTGGATGACGATAGTTTCAGTAGCATTTCTTCGTCTTCGTCTTGTGCCAGTAAAAGTACCGACTTCTCAGGAAACTTGACGACAACATCGGACGCCACTCGTTGACAGGTGGAGTGTTCAGACCTCAGGCCTGACGTCAAGTGAGGTAGAAGTGTTAAACTTTTTGTTTTGCCGAGGAAATACGCTTTACCTTCGCTTGTTGCTTGCTTTCGACATGAAAAGGTTTTGGACCCCGGCCTAAAAAACCAAAACATAAAAATGATTAAATCTGTTTACGTCGCAACTAAAACTCATGCCGTAACAATACCTGAATTTAAACCTGTTGCTTTTTAGCGCTTTGGAAAGGTATGGTTTAATAGGATTTTTGGTTTTAATTCCATCATCTGTGTACCTTTTTTTTACTGGCCTATTAAGGCGTTAATTAGGCGTTTTTTTTTAGAGTGGTAAGAGCTTTGTGAGCTTCACAGAAAACTATTTACTCTTCCTTCATACCTCACTGTTACATATTTACAAACTTCGCAAAACCAAATCTCCATTTAATTGCGTACCTGCCAACTGGCGACTTCATACTTTTGGAAGTTGAAGTGGTGATCCTTTCATCTTTAGATTCTGTTGACGTGTCAAAATAAAATTTTACAACTGAAAGGTAGCCAAAAAAGATCAAAAGTCTATAAATAGTAGTTTCCTTGTTCATTATTTGATCAGGTGAGTGAGGCTATTTATTGACTTGCGCAGACCACAAGCGGATGTTGACGCCTGCGCCTTGTGTGTTTTGAATAATTGTTCAATTTCCGTGAAAGAGCGAAAGGCGAGCAATCTAGTTAGTCTTTATTGGTTCTAATAAGAAGTTACTACAGCTTGTAATTTCGTTTAGTGGATACTAAATGTTTGTCTGAATCATATATATCCTCCGTAGGAAGGATGTTTTCTTTGAAACTGCCTTAAAGCATGTAACAGATCAGTACAAATTTAATTGTAATTCTTGCACACAGTTGAAATTGCAACTCCTAACAACTTTAAGTTGTCTAATGACTATTTTGTAACAGGAAAATCATTAAAATACTCCATGAGTCGTACCAGGTCGTAGATCACTTCTCAGCGGTGAACCGCCGTTATTATCCCCGCTGCCTGAACTTCCGTTGACTTCCTTTGAAGCAAATCTTTCACAGCTTTTGGTCGTCCTTAATGGTTGCGCCTGAAAACGGAATAAATTTCAATGAGCCAAGAAGCCTGTAAGAAACAGGCACTGAAAATGAACCAAAACAAACTTTACAGCTAAGAAGTTCGTTGACGATTATTTTGCAAATGGCTGAGTTATGAACAACGCTACAGGTTAGAATATGGGCGTATCATTATTTCTTTGTATGAACTTCAGCTCTACGGAATAGTGTAATGTTGTTTTTGAAAGCAATCATATTTTGTCACAGTGATACTCTTGAAGAGACATACTGTACATATCCTGGCAAGAAAGAAACTTCATATAAACTTTCAAGTCGCAGATTGTGTAGCAGGAGGGGACCGAAAATCTCCTTCAACTTTAGAAAATAAACTGTTAACTTAGTCCGGGCAAACGCCTGAAATGTCAGTCAACCATCGTAGGCGAAATTGTTTACTGCAACAAATAGTTCTTGTATCTTCTCGTGAACGCAATCGTTATTTCACAGCTAATGACCATGCATGTGTTCTGGTGTTAACTATGCTGTACTAAGTCCTAAATTAAAGGACTCCTACTCAACCCATAAGCAACAAATTTTTCTTACGCTATAGACACCAACACTCTTGTGACTCTTGAACTTTCGGATCTTTGGTCGGACGATTTTAAAGATGTCTTTCTTGTCACCAGAACCAACAGCTGCAGAAAGGTCAAACGGCACAGGAAAATTCCCGCTAAAAGTGGTGCGACAATGCCGTGTGAGCTCTTCAATATCCGTCATTGAAAGAGATCTCTCGACAGGCGAGGGCGCCATTTTAACTTTTCAGCTGGAGAAAAAAGAAAGACTCAAAAAATACTTCCAAGGTGAAGAGGTTCCTGGCTAAAATAAAAAAAGCCAGAGCAATGAATGAAGTTAACATCCCCGTAAATTGCAATAGCATACGACTCAAATCAACTCAAATTAGATCAAACTTTATTGAACCTCCCCACTTGGGCTTTTCAGGGAAAATATATTGAAATTTACAGCGCTTTCGATAAGCCAATTCTAAATTTTAAAACTTTAGTAATAACTAGGCATGCAATGATTAAAAAATAAAAAAAACTGCGGTAAACTTAAGCTGATGAATCCAATTAATTGAAACAAAAAAAGCATATTTCGTTTGCGTTTAATTGTTGGCAATCGCACGCGGCAAATCTAAGGTACACTGCTGGAGTACTTACTAAATAAATATGATACGGCGAAGAGAAACCTTACCTTCCTATCCTGATTACCTCGATCGAGACGTTCCACAAAAGAAAAGCGTTGTTTAGAGAATTTCTCGATAAGTTAGTTTTGTTATATTATTGGTTTGGTTGATTTTCGCATCAACAAACAAACAATTATACAGTAAGTGACGTCACAAAAGGATATGAAGTCATGATGAATTCTACTTCGTTACCAGGCCATTCGTGGGACTTTCGTGTTTGGCACGGACGTTCTTGGTCAGTAAAACAGGCAAGTCTCGTGTCATTTTTCATTTTAAAGACATTTATAGCGCCTAATCTTCTTCACGGATTAGTTGTAACAAAGTGCCAACAAGAGTTCTCATTGTTTTAAACAGCGTACTTTCTAAGAGTGCATGCGCGGCACGCAGAATGTTGACGCCATTTTGAGCGATTCTTGTGCGCCCGCAGCTTAATTGTCACACAGGTCGGTGTTTTTTTTTTCCTGAAGAGGAGTTTCACGTACAGCTCTACCGAAGAACTAAGAAGGGTACCTCAAGCAGTATTATTTTTCATATTGAAGGAATTAGAACAGTAGGTAGATTTCAGGTAGATTTGTAAGACAAACTGCGCTAAGATTTCAGCTGGAATTCCAATATACATGCTGGTTATGCAACGCTTTGGAGTGGCATACCATGGAATGTCCCACGAGCTGACTTGTAATCCCTCGGTATACACAAGAGCCTTAACATGTAGCTATAGGCGAGTGTATGTACCAAGAAAATACAGGTGACAAGTGGGATATTCCATGCTATAATATGAGAATTAAAGGGTTGCATAACTATTTTAAACCATGCCATAGAAAATACAATGGCCAACACAGTGTATGCGGCATACGCGCGGCGCATGACAGGAAGATTGGGTGTAATACCGTCGAGTATAAAACGGCTTTCCTATATTCTGATTGGCTGTATTTTCTGTGGCATGGTTTAAATACGAGTGTATTACGAAATCACAAAGTCACCAGCTCCCCGGCAGCTGGCTTGATAGGTCAGTTCATACAACACTGCAGCAGTATTGCAGACGGGAGGTTATGGCAATACAACTGGGCTGAAAGCTGGATAAATTGTTTATTTTCACAATCGCTTATTGCCGTACATAACTGCATTAGCCTTCCATATATTAAATCTTTGCACCTGCAGTTCAAATATATGATATATTCCATTTACACTCACTTGCATATCTTCGTCACCTAGAGTAATAATATGAACCCACGAAGTAACCAGCATGCACCTTGCAACTTGCTTTCTTAATTTATTTTATTGCAGTTTACAGATTATGTGCTAGAAATAATTATTTACGCATGAGATTCACAGATGGAGGAGCATTGCAGAGCATTTCTACTAACCCTTATTTTCGCGACTACTTTATTAACTTTCCGTAACTGAGATGGCTTTTCACGCATTAAATCTCTCACCAGCAGTTCAATTTCCTCATAATTCCTATTTTCATTTGCACTTGCTGATGTAGTAATGCAGGATTCTTGACGACATTCTGCGCACGCAACCATGGAACAAACCTTGTCTGAAACCAACCTCATACCCAGGGTTTTTCCCTTTGAATTTCAAAGGGAAAACCCTGGGAACGAAGTTGGTTTGAAACCAGTTTGTCCATAGATGAACACGCTTTGTTCTCTTATAAAGCGCTAAAACTAGTCCTTCACGCAGGCATAAAACTCGCCTGTGACTTGTGTTCACCCTACACTTTCGTCATGCTCTCGTCACTTCCTTGCCATTCTATAAGACGAGAAGAACGAGGGACGGGACTGCTTCCTCGTGTACTTTATAAGAATACACCTTCCCATATTTGGTTAACCAATATTATCGTTAAATTTTCAAAAACATTTTAACTACCTTTTGAAAAACTCTTCGAAAGCGCGTAGGGTTGCTTTAATTGTAAAGATTTTTTAAAAAGAATTAAAAACTTTCATTTTCACCGAGTATTTTTCGAGTTATTTGCCTCGAAAGGTCAAAAGTAGGATGCATTTGACGTCCGTTTTCACATTACAAGTCATTCTGACGACATAGAGAAGTCACACTGCTTTGGTAAAAACTATTCAGCTTAACTCTAAAAGTTATTACTCGATATTTCTGGGGCAGTTGTGATAAAGTACCAAAACCTAAAGTGTTGGGAGGAAAGCCGGAATAAACCACGGTTTCCGGAATCTAAATATTCCGGGAGCAATGTAAATTTGCGCGCGGGAATTGAATGCCAAGCACAATGTAATCTAAGCCAACAGAGGCATACGAAACAAATCAAAGAGCCTGAATTCAGTAGAGATTCCGGTGCTCTTTATTATTATTGTTATCTTATGACATTATTGAGTGCAGAAGAAACAACAAGCTGAAAGGTGAACCACCTTTGGTCGCAAATTTGTCTAAAAAGTTAGTGACGTACTCTAAAGTTTCTCGTTTGTAATGTTGATGTCGAACTTCATGAAGAGATGCATCGTGAAGGGAGAGGAAGAGAAAAGTAGAGAGACACGGAACACCAGTTGCATTTCAGCTCGGTTGAGACAGAGAGACAACCGATATCAGTCCTAATTGAGCATGTAAATTACACTGTAAAATTGCTCTTATATTTCTTATTTTAACATCATTCTTTAGCTGCCAGATCCCCACAACCAGCCCTTGAAATAACCAGCTAACCCGCCAGCCTTCTTCTCCTCTACTCTGTGGCCAAGTGACGGGAATTTCACCTGATTCAAGGCCAAATCAAAGAACAAAGGCTTACAAGGCACTGGTTCAAAATTAGGTGGAAATGCAGTCACTTGTGGCTTCTTGCTTGTGAGGGACTGGTCCGTTAAATAGTGATCCAAGCGTTCAGTCAGAGGCTAAATGAAAAGAAAGAAAAAGAAAAAAAATACGACCAGTTATTTCTAGGGAAACAACTGAGACGAAGGGTTAGTGCTTACTTCCCACACTGCCCGAGTTGTCAAGGGATCGACGACTTATTATTTTAAATACATTTACTTGAAGTTTACTCTACTTGACGTCACACTTTCCTTCCCTAAAGTTTCCTTTAAACCTTGCTACCTCGAGAATGATCCTTGAAATTTGATCGCCGTTTCTTCGATGAAACGAGGATCGCCGACTAGAGGTCTGGGTCCAAAGCAATCTATTGCGAAATGCGAAACTGGTGGTGCAAACAATGGCCGGACCATCCGTCTGGGACGAACTTGGGCAAAGAACGGTAGTCAGATAATTCGTCTGTTTGCCCTTATTTATTATCAGACGAACTCCGCTTTTTGCCCAAGTTCGTCCTAGACGGATGATCCCTCTCTAATACTATTTATACAAGATAGATGATCTGTTTGGACTGGTGATCTGTCTCTTCTGTGAATCGAGTCAATGTCTGCGTTTTCAATGTCGCATGCGAATTCTGGTCGCCAAGTGAACGATAAGAGAGTTCTCGCATTGATGACATCAAAGTATGATCAAATTAATGACCGGTGAATGCAACTTCATATTTGGTGAACTACAACGATAAAAACAGGAAAATAAATTTTTGAGGATGGATTATGTATAAGTAAATTTTAAACAGTTTCAAATAACCTTTGCGATTCCCTTTCAATTCTCTACCACTAAACTTAGCAGTAGTATAATAGGGCGGACGAAGTTAAAAACCTCACGTGTCAGAAAATCAAACACGTAAATTGGGAATGAATGGATAGAATATGTATGTCATACCTTTTCATTAAGAGACATATCCGCTATTTCATCCACCACCACTTCTTTTTCTGTAAAAAGTGAAATTTCATCATCATGTTCACTAAGAATGTTTAACAACACTACTCCACAAAAAGGTAACGACAAAAAATAACTATGGCGAACTGAAGGCTATAGATATATTAATCCATTCTTGCTCGTAAACTGGAGGTTACGCTTCGTTATCCAGATAAGCGTGGCAGGGACGGAGGGGGAGGGAGGCGTATTCTATTGGAGAGGGATTTAACACCAAAAAAAGATGAAATGTGTGAGCATGACAGATATCTGTAATTAGGATGGCAAAGGTGAGCCCTGTGATATGCAGAGGATAACAAAGCACAAGAACACCTTCCATTGTTTAAGTTGTTCTAATTGTCAAATGAATCATGAATTATAATGTCTCTTTTTAACTTCCGTTTTCAATAACCGCACGCACAAAATTAAGCATTTATTTACGTTCACCAGGTAGCTTTTGAGAAAGTTAAACTCAAATTGTCCCCCAAATATGAAGAGAAAAGAGTTCTACCCATGAAACAACTGTTTTCATTTTGCAGTGTTTAGAACAAGTAATTCGACGAAAATAATTTGACAGTGGTCCATCCTAGCGGTCCGTATTGCAAAATTCGGACCGCTCAGAGAACCAATCAGAATTCTCCCTTTCATCTTGGACCAGTCTGCCATATAATTTAGTAGTTCATGTACGAGAGAGAGTGGTACCTACCTAAGATACAAGATGCATGAGCTGAGCATTTAAAGCCTTGAGCCTGTGACATCAGTTCCTGGAGACTGTTTATTGCCTAATGTAAAGTGCAAGAAAAACAACAGGATTACCCAATGTGCTTAAAACAAAACACTGAACAACAAGACTAAAGAGAAAAAGCAAACAAACAAACAAACAAACCTGCGGGTGTGAGTTGATTTCTTGAAAATGCGTGACAGCAGAGGTTGCGTGACTCAATACACGATCATACAGTGACACTGCTTCACGCCATTTCTTTCCCAACAGATAAGAATGAGCAACAAATAAGCACCTGGAGACACAAAATTCAATCACAAGAAAATATTCAATTTTGCTTCGTATGTTTGATGTCACTTTTGTCACTGTATGGTTTCTTGAAAACTCAGACCCCTTAAAAACTTACATACCCGGATGTATCCAAGCTCCAAAATCAGAACTGAAATCGTTTTGAAACTTCAGTCTTCCTGGCTGTGAAATGATACACTGGCAGTTTATATACGTCGATAATCGAATTAAATTTGACAGTGTCTACCTGTTTATCATGTAATAAGTGATTCTCACGACCTTGATCAAACAGTGCACATACTTGCACATTACGTAAAACAAGGTTTTTAAACTCGGATCTACCGTGTATATACGTCACCATCATTCTCTAACCGCACGACTCCACTAAAAATCTATCTCAGTTTTTGTTCAGACACGCGATTTTAAGTCTTTCGGTTCTTTTGAGCAAATATTTATTCCACGGTGACACAAACCACACAAAGTCGACAAACCAATGTCATATTTCGCAGCCAAGACATGAAAATAATGCATTGATATACACAATGGTTTATCTTGTTTCTTTTGAGCTCCGAGTCAGAGACATCCAGAGAAACCTTTACCACATCTCAATGGTCTTGCCTGCTTGCTTCCTCCACAGAGTCTGTTGCACCAGCTTTCAGGCTAAAACCATATATAGTAGAAGGAGGCAAAGTTGAAAAAATGTTTTGAACTTCGAGCATTTAGCTTGACACTGTATACCTGTAGGCCTTGTACTCTAGCATTTGAGCAGCAATCTCTTTGGAGAAAGTCAAGTCTTGATCAATTCCGGGTAAATCAGCCACGTCAGACAGATTCTACAAGTTAAAAACATGATTTGAATGCTTACGTGCAAAGGTATAGTAAATCAATATTATTCTTCTCTGTGTTGTTCATTATAGAAATGACTTACAAACAAAGTTGTACTAAAACACTAAAGCACAATACTGTAATGTAATGTTAGCCAACTTCAGACTGTGGAGCAAAAATAATGAACTAAATGGAGTGACAATGTCCTGGCATACTGTTCTACCGAGTTTGCTATTTACTTGCCAAGGAATCCACCAAAAGCACCCTTCTCACCAGTTACTGTGAGGAGTTCTTACCTGCTGTTCGTTCTCAGGAATGAACAACAGGTTCTCTCCTTGAGGACTTACATGTAACAATAACTGTTAAGCTGTAGTTCAACAGGATTGTAACCCGCATGATTCTCTAAAGAACACAAAAATGAACAACAGGTTTTGTTCTCTCTGTAACTTGGCCTGAGTGATCTGTAAAAATGTTGCTACAATTTCAGGGGCTGGTTTGGCTTCTGACATCTGGAGCTCATTTGGTGAAATTCGTAAACGTAACACAGTAAGAAATGAATGGCAGTCGCAGTTTGTGGGTCAATATCAAAACACTTTAAAGACAATCCATGGTGGGTACTAAACTTTAAGGCCATTAGATAATGGTCAATAATTAAAAGTTTGTGAGAGTACCTTTTAATCTTTGATCAACAAATTATTATACCTGTAAAATGATGTCATATATTCGCACAAGGTCCTCAGGTTTAGCAATCTTCTTGCCAGAGCCAGTTTCAGCTGGTACGTCCTCAACAGAATTTTGTAGATTAGCTGGTAAACTGTTCTTCATTGACTCAGCCATAAGCAAGTTCCTTTCCACTGTTTTACTCAGCCGGATAAATGTGATGTAAATATGCAGGAACTGCATATTTCCCATTTGGGCTTCAGTCTTTTGAGACCGTGTTTTACCAGAACCCTGCAAAATAAGATAAAGTAATTAAGGTGCTGTTCACAATATTATTGAAAATAAAACAGCACAATCATCATACCATAAAATCGCAATTAATCACTGTTAAGGACAATATATTAACTTGGTACTCTTAGGATCTAAGCACTTGAAATGCTGGAAATTATCCTCATATACATTTTTAGACAAAATACATTACTTAGGAGCTACCTGTCAAGGTGACATCCCTCCCAAACATATAAAGGGGACAAGTGTTTTCAAAACAAGCTGGCAACTGCCAGAGTTCTGACGCCTACTTGATTATATATTGCCGGTTTCTCTGGTTATAACAATTAGCTGGCAACAAACAAGCTCAGCACTGCGTCTTATCAATAAATCTTTAAGACAGCAGAATAACTTCACAATCAATTTTTGTGGCAATAATTTTTTATCCA